AACAGGATAAGCTTTGCTTCTGTCATGGGGGAGCTTTTCGAAGCAACGGTGTGGGATAACATTGCTAATCGCTTGGAGAGGCGTGGCTTTATTAACAGCATGAAAGGATTTGTAAAAGGCAATTCTTGCTTGACAGATTAAGGAGCTCTTTGAGGAAATAAAGTACTGAATGAGAGCAAAGGAAATGACCATTGGTAAGATGGACCCACAGCCATTTTGTTTGCAGACTTGTTGTATGTTACTAGTCCAGTGCCCTCTTCGCCAGTCTCCTCAGCTCCACTATCCACAAAATTCAGTTAATCCAGAACTCCGCTGTCCGTATACTCACCAGCATTAAACTCCGTATCCCCATCACACCAGTTTTTGCCAGGATCCACTGGCTCACTCCGTATCACCGACTGGCTCTATGTAACCAAACTGATCAAATTCAAGATCCTCACAATCGTCTTCAAATCCCTTTGTGTCCTGTACCTCCCTAAGTTTCCAACCTGCTTAGTCCCCAATCCACTACCAGTCACCTCAGTTCAACTGGCTCCAGCCTCCTGCTTGTCCCTAATGCCCCTTGATCTACCATTGGCGGATGCACTTTCAGCCACTACACCCTGAAACTCTGGAACACTCTTCCTCATTCCTTCCCCTTTGTTCCCTCCACCCCTCAACCCTTTGCTCCTTACTTCCCCACCTTCAGGTTGCTCCAGAAGACTTTGGTTTAATGGTTTATATTCACTTGAAGCATTACGTATGCTTATATTCTCTGTGCTCAGATGCTACCCCATGTGAAGGGAGCTATGTAAACACAAGAACTTTTTTCAAAAAAGCAGTGGAGAAATGGTGTCAGCAGTGACCTGGAAGGCTGAATAGCTTGCGAATGGCTTTTTTGTTTGTGAAGAAACTGATACTTGAAGTGTGATTCAGTTTGGTGACTTTATGACCATGTGCCGGCCAAACTTTGGGGCTGCATTTTTTTTAATGAGAGCCAGCTGCAGTGTGTGTGTAACCTTGAAGCTCTTCTAGTGAACCCTTACTGCACCCTCCTCCGAGTGCGGTTTTGTCTGGAAGGATCACATGACTTCTGTGAAATCGTTTCCATTTCCAGTAACCGTTTGTACAGGAATGACTCAGAACACAACCAGCTTCCCTGTAACCACAGGGTTGTTGAAGAATTTGTCAACGTGGACTTTGGAGGTTTATAGTAGTTAGCTGGAACTGGTGTGGTGAGATTGCTTCAGTGAGGCAATAGAGGGGCTTCCTGCTATTAAATTATCTTCAGGGTCTATTTAAAATCATGGTGCTAGAAAATCGATGTCCAGTTAGAAGACGTTTGCTAGAAAAATCAAACTAGAAAAATGAGCAGCGTGACGACCACCAGCTTTTGTCAGCTTTGATGACTTGATTCCTTTAGGTTCCACACCTTTGTTTCCTTGGCTTCTTGCTACGTTTGTCTCTTCTCATGTGTTGCAATCCCTCGCTGTGCCACTGGGCAGAAACCTTTATTTTGTGACTTCTGCTTTTTGTGCAATCGACATTAAAAATAGCGCAAGATATTGGCAGCAAAGTCCCGCTGTACATTCACCCACAAGGGGCCAAGTGAACACAGGAGCTGGGTCCAATCTGGATGGGAAATATAATTTAAAAAAAAACTTGTTTCCATAAGTTTCCTTTTCTGATGTCTTTGAAAGGCTCAAGAGCTTTAGTTTTTATCTTGTCGTTTTTGTCCAGTCTGTAAAATATTTAAGTTTTAGATGGAAAAAAAAATCCTCGAATGTTTTCTTTGTTCCAATAAGTTAGTTTTGGAGGAGTGCCGCCTGCGTTTGGTGGGCCAGTCTGTGATACAAGCCATAGAGCAGAGAGTAGTAGGTCACATCAGTCATATTGGCTCCTGATCTTGCCCAAAACAGGTTGGAAGAGACTGAACAAAACACAAAATACTGCACATGCTGGAAATCTGAAATGTAAACAGAAGTCGCTGGGAAGACTCAGGAGGTCAGGCAGCATCTATGGAGAGAGGAAAGTGAGTTAACGTTAACTCACTTTCCTCTCTCCATAGATGCTGCCAGACCTGTTGAGTGTTTCCAGTGATTGTATTTTTTTATGGGAGACTGAAGTGTGTTAAATAGTAAGAACAGGAAAATCAACAGGTCCTTTCAATAACTTCTAAAATGTGGCTTTCACAGAGGCCTGGGAGTTCAGAGTCTTCTGTCTCCGTCATGGAGAAGAGGGGGTTGTATGACCAAGGGAAAAAAAATGAAGTAAGAAGCACAGATGTGAAACTTGTGTTTTGAAAGTTAATGCTTTGAGCAGCAAAGTGTCCCATGTAGAACCTCCCACGAACGATTGCACTATTGGAGACGAACACCTGCTTTGTGAACACTGACATTGCACAGTTTGGTCGGAACATTTTTAGACCAAAGCCGATGATCATGTCACCAAAATAGTATGTTCTTATCTGCTGATCTTCTCATCTAAGTTAATTGTAACCTTCAAGTTGCATCTGATATAAGGTCATTGATTAGCTAGTTGTGGTGAGCAGAGTGATCTGACCTCTGTTTTACTCGCCTTCTCACCTGAGTAGTTTGTTCATAAACTTGTGATAAATGCACGGATTAGCTGCAGGGCACAGTTTGCGTTTTGTGGATTATGATCATTCATCTAAAATGAATGAATGATCTAAAAAAACTCCACCATGTAGGCTCATAAGGTCAACAGAGGGGGAGTTCAGTTCAGTCTCCTCTACGGAACCAAGTTAGTAATTCCTCATGGCTGAGCTGATGAAGTGCATGAGCCATGAGCTTCCACAAAGCATAATTTTATACTATGTATATAATATATATGTTACAAAGTGTACTTGGTGTTTGTGTTAATTCCAGCCTGCTGGATCACTGAAGTAAAGAGCAAAGAATCCGACTCCTTCCATACAGTACAGTTGCTCGATTAAGATGGGTGGGAGGAGGGAAGCTTTATAAAGAAGTCAGGATCTGAATATAATTTTTGAACAATTGATTTAAACTAAAGCTACCTTTGGGATGGGGGCAGGACAAAGCACTTACTTCGATATTGAAACATTCCTCTTCAAAAAGTCCCAGGACTCTTGTGCTAAATAGCAGCGACTCAGCAAAGTGTTGCGAGTGCAGTTGTCCTACCTCTCCGACCTACTATCCCCCTACCTACCTGCCCGTACCCTCCGTTCCTCTGCTCCGGTCTGCTCCACATCCCCCGCCCCAACCGCCTTACCATCGGTGGCCGGGCCTTCAGCCTCTCAGCCCCGAGGCTCTGGAACTCTATCCCCAGTGCCTTCGCCGCTTCCTCCCTCTCCTCCTTCAAGGCCGGTCTCAAGACCTTTCTCTTTGACCGAGCCTTCAGCTCCCCTCTCGACTCTCTACCCCTCCTCGCTCCCTCCCTCCCCTCACCCTGACCATCCCCCCTCCTCGCTCCCTCCCTCCCCTCACCCTGACCATTTCCCCCTCCTCGCTCCCTCCCTCCCTCCCCTGACCATTTCCCCCCTGCTCGGGTCCTGACCCAACTGTACAGCGCCTTGGGACGTCCTCCCGACGTGAAAGGCGCTCAATAAATGGAGTCTTGTTGTTGTTGTTCTCCTAGTTCTGGACATCTTTCAAAGGCTGCACTTTACTTTATTTACCCTGAGGTTCAATGCTATTATTTGATGGTGAAGTGTGGTTTGTCATGATCCTCTTTCTCTCTGGAGAAAATCGATGTGCATCATTTACATAACTGAAAGTTTCCACAATTGGCCATCTCAGACTTGTGCATAGAGTTTCATTTCTTGCTTTTACAGATTTAAACGCAGACGCTTTCCACTGAAGTTGTGGTTGGTACTGTCTGGTTAGCACGTGCCATTCATATAAAAGATCATAGGTTAGATTCCTGATTCTGTGCTGCATTGGCTGATCTAAACTGAGGCCACTGCAATTTTGTCCTAAGCTTTTGTCCTACAACAACAACAACTTGCATTTATATAGTGCCTTTCACATGCGGTAAAGTCCCAGAGCACCTAAGCAGGGTTAGGAAGAGAGAAATGCACATAACTTTGTCCTGATCCCTGAGCTTTCCATTCATTTTGCGTAAAACACTTCCGGCTTCTATATTAATAACCTTTTCCTCCTGCAGCATTTTCACTTGCAAGCGTTCACAGTGGGGAGGGAGTGAGACCCACCCATCAAAATGAATTTGGCGTTTCAACAACAACTTGCATTTATCTAGGACTCCTCACTCAGGGTAGTGTCCCAGAGCTTCAATTCTTCGCTTGCAGCAAAACATGGTGTCAGTCATACCCATAATAAGAGCAGACCAAACGTGTTGCAGATTATGCAGATAAAGGCCTCTCGGCATTTCTGAGACATAGGTTTACTGCTGGATTGACTTTCTGCACGAATGCCCAGGAAGCTAGCCAATGCATAGGTGCTGGAAGTGCACCACAATTCTGGTATAGAGCAGCTCAACAGCGTGACTGCGATATATACAACAACAAGATTATATTTGTACAGTGACTTTCACGTCGGGAGGACGTCCCAGGGCCCTGGACAGTGTACAGAATTTCAGACCAATGCGTGTTATAATAATAATCCTTCATTTGATATAGCCCCTTATCACTTTGGTGAGATGTCTCCAAGCGCTTCACAGAATATGTTGTAAATTGTATTGACTGTATATTTTGTTGGCAAAATGCGGCAGCCAATTGCTCACAGCATCGTCCCAAAAACAATCGTTTTGGCCTACATGTAAACTTGGTGCAGATTTTTGTTTTCAGATGTCCAGTTGGGTAAAGTCAAGTTACCTAAACTGTGTTTCTGCACTAATCTGGTAGATTAATAATAATAATCCTTGCATTTGATATAGCGCCCTATCACGTCGTTGAGATGCCTCAAAGCCCTTCACAGAATAGGATGGACTGTATTTTGTGATGAGTGTAAGGGAACTTTCCCGATGTAAAAGATGTAGACCTGTGTTTTTTTTAAATAAACATTTTTCTTTTCTTTCATAAGGACCTTCCCACCCGAGCGAAGCTTGCTGTCCAGAACCTGGTGCAGAAAGTGGGCTTCTTTGGAATCTTGGCCTGTGCTTCTGTAAGTTATTGATGAAACGAAGAAAGGAAGTGAAGATGTGTAGTAACTGCATTGCTGAGGAGCAGGGTACCCAGTACTCAAGCACTGTTATGACCACATTTGGAGTGTTGTGTTCGGGCACTCGCCTTTTACAGCCTTGGAGGCCATTCAATGACTCCCATCTGCTCCAATTAAATTATCACAACAACAACAAGATTACAACATCGACAACAGGGAGTCAGGTTTAAAGTGTTGTGTATATACAATACAGACAGTGGGTTTCATTCATTTAATATTTTCTACCAATGTCTTCAGTAATTCTCCGCAATGTATTTTTTGTAAATCCTATAGATTGTAGTTGCTTTTATGTTTCATTTCCCTTTTCTATATTTGCTTTTAATATCTGCTCTGGTGTGTTGCAGATTCCAAATCCACTCTTTGACCTGGCTGGGATAACATGTGGGCATTTCCTTGTTCCATTCTGGACCTTCTTTGGAGCAACTCTCATTGGAAAAGCCATTGTGAAGATGCACATCCAGGCAAGTGACTCCCAATCTGCTCTAATAATAATAATCATCCTTGCATTTGATTTAGCGCCTTATCAATTCATTGAGACACCTCAAAGCGCTTCACAAAATATATTGTAAAGTGGATTGACTGTATTTGTGGGCGAAGCTCAGCAGCCAGTTACGCACCTCAAACAGTCATGGATTGAGTGACCAATTTTTTTTGGAGGGATTATTACCCTGGAATGCAATCCACCAATCGACTAACAACCAGATTCCCACTTACTGCTAGGTAAACAGAGGCGTGTGCAGTAAGGAAATTTCCTAAGGTTCGTCCTCCCCGGGATTCGAACCCAGGCTCTCTCGCTTGCCACTACGATACAGGCTCTCTTCCAACATCATGAAAATCAAGAGTTTTTTTTCCTTGAATTTAATCCTGGTTTAGGAGGTGATTGTACAAAATTTCCTTACAAGGAGGGGGAAAAAAGCTGAGCCTGTTATCGGCTGGAAACAGTGCCCTTACAGCTTTGAGAGCTGGGCATGAATTCAGACTGTAATTGCCTCCGTGATGTTTCTTGTTTAGGGTGGGTTGCAATTGTGGTTTCTGTTGAGGTTAACAAACCTTTCCTGGATGCATATTTTCAAGCAGCGGGTCTGCTGTGAACATGCCAATCTCACTGTGAGGTGATGTTTGAATATTTTCTAATTTGAATGACTTTCTGAACTTGTTTTTAAAAAAAAGTCCAGTTGAAAACATTTGCAAGGTTTGTGAGGATTTACATCTTCCAAGTGACCTGCTAGCATTTATACAGGTTTCAATAACTACACGTGGCTGGTATGGAAACAATTAACTCCTTTTGACACCACATGTTTTTGTCATGCTCGCCTCCTTTAAGTTCTGCTTCAAGACCTTCCTCTGACTATTTTCGGCCATCGTACTCCCCTCCCCCAACTCTGGTCTCATCGCCTTGGGATGTCCCCCAGATATGAAAGGCGACGTGTAACTTTGTATTGTATGCTTTCTCCTTGAAAATTTACTATTGAAAATGAAATGCTGACCATGAAGGTGTACAAAATACATTACGTGTAACGTATTTGAGTCCATACCCTCAGGTCACAATTGCACTACCTATTAGCGGGTATAAAGATATTTATAATAATCCTTGCATTTGATATAGCACCTTATCACATCTTTGAGGCATGTCAAAGCGCTTCACAGAACATACTGTAAAGTGACGACTATATATTTTGTGGACGAAACACGGCAGCCAATTGCACACAACAGCGTCCCACAAACAGTCACAGATTGAATGGTCAAATTATTATTATTTTATTTTTTACTTTTTTTGGAAGGGCTTATTACCCCTAGAAGAGCAATCCGCCAATCGACTAACAACTGGGTTCCTACTTACTGTTAGGTGAGCAGAGGTGTGTGGAGTAAGGAAACTTGCCCAATGATTCGCCCTGCCAGGAATTGAACCCAAGTCCTCTCGCTTGCAAGGCAAGTGCTCTTATAAACTAGTCGGGGGAGGGGGCTAGAGAATCATGTTCTCCTGGCCTACCCTAGAAATGTAATCAATTCCTCCTGCTCCCTCCTTCCCTCTCTCTCCCCGGTTTCTTTTTCTTCCAACAGGAAAACGTTTTTGGGAGATGGCGGCACTGTAAGAGTATCTTAAAAACCACTTAACAAATTATGACTACCCTCGTTTTTTTGGTTTTTAGTCAGCTGAATGTCTGACATGAAGAAACCCACCATCACGCTTAAGTATCCAAACCAAACTGAGAGTTCCATGCATGCCACCATTACTTGGAAATTCCTGTGTTTGGAATGGAATGCGTACTCTTTCCCCAAGGGAACATATCCTGCTTACTGAATTCTGGAGAGCATTAGGCACAAGTTGGCAAGAGCCAAGGCTTAGGGACCACAGAGTGTGTGTTGAAGTGCTGCTAGTGTTTAACCAACTGGAACTACATAGTTTGCCATTGAGAGCACTGTCTGGCAAGTAGATAGGTAGTTTGCTGTTAAATTGAGAATATGTGTACAGGCTAGATTTTGGGAACATCTTGTTTCCACTGCTGAGCTCCAGTTTGTTGTGTTTTCCCTCGGGGACCTTAGCTGCTACAAATGGAATGTCTTATTTTCTGTGTTTTGAGGCTATGTATTGTTAAAAAAAGTGATAGTTAGTAAAGTTATATCATTGATATTGTAATAGTCCAAGTATTAGGTAGGAATCCCGACCTCTGGATTAAAAAGTGACAATTTTGCTTTTTTGTGCTTGTCCTTCCTGCTTATCCTGCTCAGTTTGTAGCACTCTTGGTTCTGATTGAGACCGTATTGGTGCTTTGACGCACACTCCTGGACCTGAGCTCATAACCCAGGAAAGCACACCAGTGGGCACTGTTTTGTTTGAGATAAATCTGCCTGTCATGGTGCACATTGAAGGATCCATGGCACTGTTGTGAATAAGAGCAGTGAAATCTAACCTCATACATTATTTATCCACCAGTTGTTTCAAAGTGCAGTTGTCCATACAGTATGTGGCTCCATTGCAATTTGAACCTTTTGTGAGACCCGCAAGCCTATAATGAGGCCAGACCTTGTTTCATTCTTTACTAACTTGTTTTTAGTTATTGGGTAAACAACAAGAGTAGAGATCTATATTGATGTACAAGGCAATTCAGCGCTTAAAAGGTTAAAATTGTGGAGTATGTGTGTAATCGTTGAGACATTGTGGAAATATGCAAACTTGTTCAGACTAAGACTGAATCCAATCAACAATTCCATTAATCTACCATAATGTCGTTGAGTCGACCTATACTTGCAATCCAGCCCGATTCATTTTGTTTTCAGGTTTAAATAGAGTATCTATAGCTTATTGATGGCAGGTCCTATATTGAGAAAATAAATTGGAGGTTGTTTGTGAGCCTGAACTTTCAAAGTGCTTGTGACGTTTGTCACGATTATGTAAACTGTTGTGACAAGAGTTCATTGTCTGTGAAGAGGAACTGGTGATTCAACATGGCCTACCAATGTGTGGCGTGATAGGATCTTAGCTCACCTGAAGAGGAGGTGTTAAGCAGAGATACAGTCACTTGTCTCTGTCTCTTTGCCTATCATCTAGAGTGGTCCTAACCGGGCAAGCAAGAAAGCTTACCATGGTTTGCAAAGGCAAGCTAAGCTGTTCTCCCATTTAAACCTCAGCAGTACCCCAAGCTCATGTGTCCCCCAAGCTTTGGCTCTTGCCAATCTGCAACTAGTAACTTATTGGTATAGGTGAGTGAGGTGCGTCCTTCTGGGAAGTGAGTGCACTCTCCATTCCAGACAGTTAGTTTCCTTGCATCTGTGGAAATCTTGGTAGTTTGGTTTTGATGGTTTTAAGCACGGGACTGAGTTTCTGCATGTGCCAAAACTCTACCTCCTCCATACCTTCCCTTTGTGGCTCTCTTGCACTGCTCAGCAGTCTGTCACAGAGTACATACAAAACCAGTTCACCTGGGCTCTTGCTCACTTGAGAAATAATACACAATAATTGAAGGGCAGAGAGAAAATGGGAGGAGAGGGAAAGTGACTCAGGGATCAGTAGCATGAGAACAAAATCTGAATTAAGCAATTTTCTTTGGGAATATTTAGCGCTAAAGTTAGTTTTTAAGAGATTGTGATAGAGCCTATTAACTGAAATGTGTTGGCAGATGTGATAAAATAGGGCAAGGTTCAGCGCTGGAAACCTGGCAATAAATTATTTCTTGCATTTCCTCAGAAACTGAGCTTGTAGGGCATTCGATTTGCAAGGGATTAATTTACTCAAGACTCAACTGATTTTGTTGAGCAATTTTAGAATTCCTAAGGTTACTCAACAAAATAAGTTGAGTCTGAAGCAAATTAATCTTTTCCCAGCAAAACCCATAAGATGATTCTATAATTGACTACCTCTGGAAGTAGAAATGGCAACACAGATAGCTATAGGTAACGTGTAGTCAGAGGAACAAAAAAAACTTGGTATATCTCCTTCCACTTCAGGAGGTCGTCCCAAAGCGCTTCATAGGGTGTACTGTAATGTACAGTGATTGTGTGTTTTGAGGTGAATGCAGTGTCCCACAAACAGCCATCGAGTGAATGACCAATTTTTTCTGGGGGATTGTTGGCCAGGATCCCGGGAGAAACTCCTTTCTCCTATCAAGCAGAGCTACGGGATCTTTAACGTCCACCAGGGCAATAATAGGGAACAGAGGGGATTGATGTCCAGGATACCAGGAGAAACTCTATTCAAAATCCCAAGATGCGGTTTAAACCCACAACTGTCTGACTCCGAGGTGAGGGTGCTACCAACTGAGCCAGCACAATTAGACAGGAACATACAGAGGAACGGTATTGGAGGTTACAGGAAAAGAGCAACTGGGATTAGGATAGGTGACTTCTTGGAGAAGCAAATACCGATGAGAACAGATAGCCCAAATGGCCACCAAATGTGTCGTACATTTCTGTGGTTCTGTGGTGGCCATCCTCCTGATGTGAAAGATACAATATCAAATTCAAGTGTTAATAAATGGTACTTTGCAAAGAGATGTTAAAAAGTATGGAGAAAAGTTGGAGAAATGGTTTTGAAAGATCTATCAATGTATTATAAAAAACACAGAAGTCGCTGGGAACACGCAGCAGGTCAGGCAGTATCTATGGGGAGAGGAAGAATGGTTAAACTTTCAGGACGATAACCTTTCTTCAGAATTTTGCCTTTTATCAATCTTATAAACTGGTGGAATAGGCTCAGTGGGTTGAATATCTCCTTCTATTCATGCCTGGAACAGAAGCTGCTGCTGGAGTGTAATAAATGGCTGCGTGATTTATTTTAATATAAATACCTCAATCCTTCTGTTGTGCTGATGCACTGTACTGAAGTGATCCGTGTTCTGATTTGGGATTGATCATTTACTGTAAAGCCCTTTAAATGTTTGGTATTAATTGATGCCAGGTAGCAGTTGCATTGCTGTCCAATTTTCAAACAAGAAGCAAATTGTGTTTCTGGGTTCCATCATGGTGAATTACTTAGGAAATTCAGGTCATTCAGAACTCTGCAGCTCGTGTACTGTCCCGCACCAGGCTTCGGGACCACATCACACCCACCCTCGCTCGCCTCCACTGGCTCCCCATCCCCCAGAGGATTGATTTCAAGATCCTCATCCTCACCTACAAGGCCATTCACGGCCTTGCTCTCTCCGACCTACTATCCCCCTACCTACCTGCCCGTACCCTCCGTTCCTCTGGCTCCGGTCTGCTCCACGTCCCCCGCCCCAATCGCCCTACCATCGGTGGTCGGGCCTTCAGCCTCTCAGCCCCGAGGCTCTGGAACTCCATCCCCCAGTGCCTTCGCCGCCTCCTCCCTTTCCTCCTTCAAGGCCAGTCTCAAAACCTTTCTCTTTGACCGAGCCTTCAGCTCCGCTCTCGACTCTCTACCCCCTCCTCGCTCCCTCCCTTCCCTCCCCTCACCCTGACCATTTCCCCCCCCCCCTCCCCTCCCCCCCCCCTCCTCGCTCCCTCCCTTCCCTCCCCTCACCCTGACCATTTCCCCCCTGCTCGGGTCATGACCCAACTGTGCAGCGCCTTGGGCCGTCCTCCTGACGTGAAAGGCGCTTTATAAATGGAATCTTGTTGTTGTTGTTGTTGTTGAAATGCATCCACAGGGTTAACGTGCCCAGATCTACAGGTGCCACGATACTTGCCATTTTGATGTTCTTGTGTGGGTGGTAGGGTGCGGTGAATGAATTGTGAAATCTTTTGTCAGTCGTAAATTCTGCTCCAGAACACATTGCAGGATTAAAGGGAGAGGATGATTGTATCATTTTAAAAGCTTATAAATGGCAGAAAGTGCAAAGTTCAGAAAGTTGGGTGTCTCCTCGGCACATTTGTTTTAGATGTCGGAATCTTTTTATTTCCTCAATGTGACAGTTGAACAAAGAACTTTGTTAAATTTAAATACAATACACAAAATTCCTTTCACATTGGGAGGACGCCCCAAGGTACTGAACAGTCGGGGGTTTGGACCCGAGCCGCGGGTTGGGATCAGGGAGGGTGGGGGACAGAGAGGGTAGGAGGTTGGCTGAAGGCGTGGTTGAAGAGGAGGGTCTTGAGACGTACCTTGAAGGAGGCAAGGGAGAGAGCGAGGCGAAGAGAATGTGGGATGGCATTGCTCTGTTGTAACTTTACATTTTCGGGGGTAAAAGCTCATTTCTCATATCCTGCCACGTGACATTCAGCGTGTAGCCTCTGGTTTGCCTGGGTGACCAAGCTGAACTTTTCTTGATTTGGTCACTGAAAGAAACCTCTCGTGTCTCTGAGCTGACTAACGTGTGGTTATAGAATCAAGGACCAACTGAGGAAAGGGCCCACCAATGCAAGTTGTTGCTGCTCTATGATTCCTTCACCTACAGAATCCTAGTTAAACCTAAACGTGTGGATTTATTTCTCCCTTCCCTCCCTCTTCCCCCCCGCCCCAACTGTTCAAACCTATGATTTGCTTACTAACAACTACTACCCCTTTCAGCCTCATCTGTGAGGTGTTTTGCACAAATGAAGACCTGCACAAGGATACAATGGATCAAACCTCCAAAGATCAGTCAGATAACAAAAGCAAAAGACCAGCCGCACTTTCAGCTGTACAGGACGTTCGGATGCGCATCCTTGACTGTCCAGCGCTTTGGGACGTCCTCTCGACATGAAAGGCACTATGCAAGTGTAATTTGTTGTTGTTATAACAATCCTTGCATTTGATATAGCACCTTATCATGTCTTTGAGAAGTCTCAAAGAGCTTAACATGATATACTGTAAAGTATAGTGACTGTATATTTTGTGGGTGAAAAGCAGCCGCCAATTGTACACATCAGTGTCACACAAACAGTAGTGGATTGAAGTGACCAATTATTTTTTTAAGGCATTTTTACCCATGGAAGAGCGATCCGCCAGTCGACTAACAACCGGGTTCCTACTTACTGTTAGGTAAACAGATGTGTGGAGTAAGAAAACTTACCCAACATTTCGCCCTGCCAGGAATCAAACTCGGGTCTCTCGCTTGCGAGGCGAGTGCTCTAACCTCTGAGCTACAGGACTCCACGTATAAGATACGTTTTTGATGAATGAATAGTTTAATCATAAAGTGATTAATTATAATCCTTTTAATTCTTTCTCTAAATAAGTCTAATTTTGATATTTGGTGTCCCTTGTTTGGTAATTCAGCTTATGTCTAACGTTTTATGCCCAGGAAGCTCCTCCAAGGGGCAGCTTTAGCTTGCAATGACTTTCCTTGGTTTTGTTTTGCTCATCTTCCCACTAAGCTTTGCTCCTCCCCACAGCATCTCAATTGAACTCCACTTCGATATGGAATCTGGCAGTTCAGTAAAACTTTCCCCTCGTGTTGAATATTTTATGTCTTCCCCACTCCCCCTGTTTAGGAAGTGTGTCTATCTGCTTTGTCTTTCATCTTTCATCCCCCAAGAAGCCTCAGAACATCACATCACTCACTGCGTGGTGCATGTTCTAAGGGGAAAATCTGCATCATCCCACCTGATTAGCACAATGTCACATAGATTGACTAAGTGCAAAGTTATTTACATTGCATGATGTTTCTTCCAGTGTTGTTTTTCGTTGTCATGGATAAATGGAATGGGTGGATTACTTGCCTGTTCCTGTAAGTGATGATCGTGTGATGTTTATGGATATTTTTATTCCCAAATCGATCGCTTCTTTGACTAACTGTCTTTCAAATTCTTTTTTAAAACCCACAGAAACTGTTTGTTATTATAACGTTCAGCAAGCACATAGTGGAGCAGATGGTCTCCTTGATAGGGTGAGTAATTTCTGTACCGGTCGCCACATCTGCCTTGTGAGAATGGAAAGTTGGTGGGTGGAGGGACCCAAGTTAGGGTTAATCAGAATGAATGTATCGCACAATTGTACTCTAGATGTAACCTAACCCCTGCAGGAGGTTTGAATCATTTGGATGTCTTTACTTAGTTTACAAAATTTATCCGCTTTTGTGCGAAAAGGGACTTAATTTTTAACTGAATCAAATATACAAAATCAATTATTTTCATTCTTGGCAATTGCACAAAGGAACCTTGGAGGGTATAGGGCCAGAAGATACCAGTCTTGGTTCATATCAACCTTCGCATTCTAAACCCATGAAATATTCTATGTTCTTTCTTTTGCCCCCTTTTGTCCATTCCCCATCCTGTAACTCAGTTCATGCCTGATTTGTTCTCTCATTTGCTCTCTCAGTCCTTATGTGTGACTGCTGTAAATTCTCAATTGAAATGAACCAAAGCTTTTGCATTGTAGAATTGCTGGGTCTTTGAAAGAGCTTCCCAATCAGTCCCACTCCCCCATAGAATCATAGTACCTGTGATTCCATTGTAATTCTTTGGAACTATAAAATAATTCCCTTATTCTGCATTTCATGGTGAATGGCATTGGAGGTTTATTCTGCAGTGATGACATTGCAATTGCCTCAGTCTTTAGTGCATGTAATGTAAGACCTATTTTAATAACCATTTGGGCTTGTTTTCACTTTATTGACAAGTGTACATTATAAAACATGTGCTGGGTTGGGAGAACGTAATAAGGTTGTAATTAGACTCAAGGTTCAGGTGACATAAAATCACTTGAGCTTTGCTCTCATAGTTGTGTAAACTCGTAAATTAAGAGACTATCTATTACTATAAAGCAGCCATCAGTTTTTAGATATTTGATTGGGGGAGATTAAACTCATAAATATTTTTTGGATTTTGAAAAACCAGAGGAATATGAAGGAGACCGATTCGGAAAAGCTATTTGGTCCAGTCACCTTGTGCCTATCACAGGCACAGGCACTATTAAGTTCCTATAATCTCTTCTAAACTTTCTCTAAACTTGCTCCAGAATGTCTCACCCAGGTTTCCACACCACCGTCCTGAATATAATAATAATAATATTCCTTGGATTTGTTATAGAGCATTATCACGACTTTGAGACGTCTCAAATCGCTTCATAGAATATACTGTAAAGTGAATTGACTGTATACCTTTGTGGGCAAAACGCAACAGCCAATTGCGCCCAGTGGTGTCTCACAAACAGTTGTGGATTGAGTGACAATATTATTAGTATTATTTATTTTTATTTTTTGGAAGGGATTATTACCCCCGAAAAAGCGATCCGCCAATCGACTAACAACTGGGTTCCTAGTTACTGCTTGGTGAACAGAGGAGTATAGAGTAAGGAACTTGAATCTAACCTAGGTTCATCCTCTCGCTTGTGAGGCGAGTGCTCTAACCGCTGAGCTACAGGACTCCATTGACAAATATGACTCTCTTGATTTGTCATATCCCTGTGATTCTAAGCTCCTTCAAGTTCTTTTTTTAATAAAATAAATGGTAATCGATTCAGCAGTGGTCTGTTCCAGATATCTACTGGAGGGACTCTCAGTTTTAGACTAAATGTCTAAATTATGAATGTGCATAAAGCAGATATCTCCAGTCTTGGAAAATGTGGCACAACAACAAATTACATTTGTATAGCACCCTTCTTGTCGGAAAGACCTCCCAGGGCACTGGACAATCAGGGGTATTTCAACTCAAGGTATTAGTGCTACAACAAAGTTGTGCAAAATGTGGGTTAGTTATAGAAATTCATATATTGGAAGGTTTTGCACATTACCTTTAAATCTAGAATCATAGGATTATACAGCACAGAAGAAGGCCATTTGGCCCATCGTGTCTGTGGCGACTCTTTGAAAAGAACTATCCAAATCAATCCCACTCCCCCGCTCTCACCCCATAGCCCTGCAAACTTGCCCTACCCAGATAATTATCTACTTCTCTCTTAAAAGCTGTTATCAAATCGGCTTCCACCGCCCTTTCAGGCAATGCATTCCAGATCCCAACAACTCGCTGTGTCAAAAATAAGTTCAGTTTGTAAGATTTAAACTAAGGGCTGAGGCTTTCAGAAATGATGTGCATCAGAGTTTGTGAAGAGCTAAGGATGAAAGAAGCCTATTCAACTCATCTAGGTCATATACAACACTTACTGCAATAACTTTAATCTACCTTGTGCCTCCCTGCCAACTGGAGCCTTTTGTACCTGTGCCTGCTATTGACAAACTTTAACTCGCGCATAAGTAGTTCAAAGAGCCAGTCTTTACACTATCTTATCACCATGTTGAAGTTCGTTTAATGAGTTCATTTACTGGGCAAGAGGCTACTATTGTACGCGTGTCTTTTGGTGTTTGCCCAATCCTGCCTATAAAGCAAACAGACATTTAACTTGTTACAGGGAAGCGAAAGTGTTCCCATTTGGTTACGAACGACTATTTTCTCTGGAGTGGAAATTTTTATTTCTGGTGAATTTCAATTAAGCAGCAAATGCAGAATTAAAAAAAGTATATAAGTTCAACTGCAAATATATATACATATATTGTTCAATTGCCCCAGAATTAAATACTAATGAATATGCTAAAATTTACTATTATTAAATAAATAAAATAGTTAAGTAAGAACTCCCGAATAGTGATAAATTGAGAGAAATAGAAAATGTAGCACAACTGCCTGAAATCTGCCTTATCCCTCTTCTGGAGATCACCATGTGGCTGTTTGGTTCTAACCGATAGGGAGCTGAAATATTACAAGAGCCAGATCCTCATGAATTGGCTTTCTTCATATGCAACCATCATAGTAGAAACTAAGATAAATGGTGTGTCTTTAGGCTGCTGTTGATCCCAGCCCCCAGCGCGGGTGCACATTCTTGACTGTCCAGCACCTTGGGGCGTGCCCCCAACATGAAAGGTGCTATACACATGTTGTTGCTGCTGTTGTCTGGTATTCTTTCTCTTGCTACCCTCTTAAAGGTAAGCGAATCCAGAACAAGGGAGCATGTAATCTTAAAATTGGAGCTAGGCCATTTAGGGTTGAAATTAGGAGGCAGCTCTTCACCCAAAGTGTAGTGGAAATCTGGAACTCTCTCCACCAAATGACTGTGGATGCTGGATCCATTCAGATTTTCAAGATGGAGATCGATAGATGTTTGTTAGGTCAGGGTATTAAGGCGTATGGGGCAAGGACGGATAACTGGACTTGAGGTACAGATCAGCCATGATCTTACAGGCTTGAACAGGCTCCTCCTGTTTCTATCCCCGGAAGCATGAAGTGGCATCTCGTGGTTGAACCCGATTTCAGTGGCCTGAGTCCAGTCTGGAGTTTCCTGGCTCTACTGTATTGTGGGGAATGATCTTCCAGGTAGAGAATTCCTTTCCAGGTGCAGAATTTTGATCTACACCAGAGCAAGAATGCCGGTGGGGTGATGTCACGCTGCTGTGCTCTGTTGCTGTGTGTTTTTTTTCCCTCTCTGGAAGAACACTATTTTTAAACTGCTTTACTTCACAAGTGGGTTTAATAAATCACAGGAGTTGAATACCAGCCAAACATCTAGTGGCTTTTCTGCGATTTCAAATTGCTCATGTTAAGACATTCCGACCATTCAGAACAACTGCTGTAAACTGAAGTCTCAGTTGTCTGGAAATGTGCTGCTGACTTCAAAGGGTGATCCGTGCGTTTACATGTTTTCACACAGAATTGAGAATCCTGGTGGAATAGATTTGTCCACAGAGGAGACTTTTACTGTGGTGGGGGGGGATGGATGGTGGGGGGAGAATGTGATTCTAAAGTCTCTGACATGAATTTTGGCACAAGGCAAGAAATTATTTTGTGGCTTTAATCAATTGTTTGCAAATGTTTCTTTCATTCCCAAGTTTTTTTTAGTCTTTTGTAGATCAACAACTAGGAGCTGAGCCAAATATATGGCACAATGTTTTGCTGCTAAACTGGCATTAAATCTAAAAACAAGAGAGCAGTTTTACCACAGAACAGTACTTTTGGAAATCTATCAGTCAGATAGTAAAGTTCTTCCCATGAGCCCAGAAAAATCCCTGTCCTACTTCTCGCTGATGAAACACCAATGTGTAGAATTGCGTGGATTTACGTAGAACATTAGGCTCAACTTGTGTGTTCCAGTGTTGACACAAGACACGCTCTGCCACTCCTCGTTGATGTGGTGACATTTCCAACCACTCTTCTGTGGAGAGACGCTGGTTCATTCAACCGGCTGGGCTGGGTTCTGTTGAAGACCGTTTTCATTGATTTTCACCTGAAGTCAGTCTTCGGGAGCTATGCCAAGCGTCCTGCAGTATAGGGAGGGAAACAAATTTGCCTTCACACAGGTTCTCTGAGATGGGGTGTTTCCATTAAGGATATAAGGTAAATCGGGTGGGGACTTTACCCAAACTGCATTTTAGAGGTTACCCATAAAAGTTGAATGAGTGGATTTTGTCTGCTGGTTAGCAAATTGCTGCAATAAATGATATGAAAAAATTGTCAGGATCAAGCACTTCTAGATCAGCTAGCTGCCCTGTCTACTCTTCAACCTCAAGAGAATGGGAGGAAACTGTTTTCAGGGAGATTGTTTAAGTCTAGGAACTTTGTTGTGGAAACTAGGGTGCATTTTTAATCTGGTTAAGTGAGTAACTTTGATCTTATTTTTCAGTGATGAGAAGTACATTCATTAAATGTTCCCACAGTGTACATTTCATGTGGAATTTTTGGGGGGTAAGCCAGGTGTCTTACACATGCAAAAACCCATCACTGTGCTTAAGAGTCTCCAAACCAGACAGCGTTACACTCAGGGATTGAATCACACGTTTGAATGTGATTCAAAATGATTTTGTTGACCCTCCCACACGTTTTGTTTGAGAATCTTTTTATAAGCAATTTTACATGGAAGCACTTTTATTTTCCAAAGTAAATCACTTTGTGCCTGGTCTGATTCAGGTCCTCCTGTATTTTGGCTTCAAGGAGGGAAGTTAGTGAGGAAACATTGCCCCATAGCAAATGTTGAGCAACAATTTTTTTTAAAGAGCTTATCAAACCTTTGTTCCTTAGTTAATAACCAACTGCTGAGTTGCTAGGAGTTGAGGGAGAGGAGGGGAAGGGAGGTATTATGAAAACTGCTAGTACATTTTACAGTAAAGATATGACATGCTGCATCGCCTTATAAGGCCCTGGTTTACTTGGAAATAGCCAAATCCTTCCTGAAGCTGTGGGGCGAGTCATAAATGGGGTGGGAGTGTAGTTTCTTTCTTAGCTGGCAATGACACAACACCGACTCACTTCCTTATTCATCAGTTCAAACCAGTTCTTACGGGAACTGACGGTGATATATGGGGCCAGCCTTGTGAGAATCATTCATTTCAGTGAATGTAGTGTGTCAGTGCAGTACACCACTGAGAATCCTCTACCTCTGTCACAATATTTGGCAATGCTAATGTCAGTTATTATTTTAAAAGCTATTTGATGGGTAAGTAAAATTAACTTGTTTACCTTTTCTTTCTTCCCCCTCTCCCTCCCTAATCTCTCCCCACTACACCTCCCCCCACCTCCCCCCCCCCCCCCCCCACCCCCTGCACCAAATACCCCTCACAGTTCAATCCCAAGTATAGGCCCTTCACTTCAGAAACCCTTCCAAGAATACCTGGAGGCCCAGCGAGCCAAGCTTCACAAGTCTGAGGCAGCGGTGGGAGCGGTAAGTCTGTGTGTGTGCGTACGTGTATGTTTGCTTCTGTTAACTCAACACTTATTGTTGCAGGTGACGTTTTTATAACATTAGAAATCCGAAGGCTCAAGATTACCAAACGTTCATCACTAATTCCCAGAAATCTTTCCAGACGCTAGTTATAAAATGCTGTAGGTTTACAGTACTACCAAGTAGTGGTTCAAGTCCACTTTATTTCAAAGAACAGCTCTGAATCTTGATAGCCTGAGTCTGTTTGCAGAGCGCCTTGCACAAGTGATGACCAGGACCAGGGCAGCACATCAGTGGTCCACCCCATCCTTTTACGTTGAGGAAAGCTAGACAGTATAAATTGATCTCCATGAAGCTGAGTACATGTAGGTAGTCTTAAAAAAATGACATCCCCTTAATCTAGATTTCTGACCAACTCCGGAACACTATACTGTAAGTATTCAGACCTTGAGGAAGTTTGGCCCCAAATCGATCTCTTGATTGAGTTGTTTAGTTGGGGGGGAAAAAAGTTTCAACTGTTGATAAAACTGAATGAATTCGATAAACCATATATTGAATGATAGTGTGGTTTTGACAGCTGCAACTTGCATCTGAAAATAAGACGGGTTCTTTTTGTAATTCGCCTTTAGTGTGACTAATCTAATCCATCTGCAGTCAAAGAGAGTACAATATTTACACAAGTTCAATGAATCTTTAATTTAACAAAAAATAATGTGCATAAAAATCATTCAAGCTTCCAAGCTGGTATAAAATTATGATGTTGGGTAGTAACAAAGCTCAGCATTTACATTATTTTTAACAAGGTACTTCCTTGTAATGGAACCTCTCTTTGTATTGAGCTGGAATAGACACAAAAGGTTTTGTAACACAGTCCGCTTGCTTCGTGTGAAAGCTGCTGTTTTTTTAAAAAAAACATGTGGTCTAGTGTTTCACTTTAATGAGTTAGTGTCGTCGTCCGTCCCCCCTCCCCCCAATTGGAACACAAACTCTTTGGGATATCAAACCGATAGAGGTTTCTGAATGAATAGAAATTGCAACAGATTATTGAGCTCAGGACTTTAGAACCAGGAATAATCTGTGATTTTTTTTAAAAAGCAAAGGGTGTGAGCTTTGTCTGCACGTATTTTGTGGTCTCAGGCTACCATGGATACTGATTCCTGTTCTTTTTTTAAAAAAAATTGGTACTTGTTCTCCATCTCTTTCGCCCCTCGCTATGTAGAAACAATTTCTTTTGTTTTGTAGTGTTGAACCGAAATGGCATTTTCCAATGTCTGAGATGAGTTTTGAAATCCCTAAGCTTTTACCTAGTCTCTTTCGCCAACAGACAAGTTCCTACAAGCATTCTTACTAAAGATCTTTGCTTTGGCCTATTGCCATTGGTTGAAACGTAATATAGAAGATTTTTTTTTAATTTCTTGTGATAGCATATATTGAAGTGAAATTTGACACTGGTGATGGGTTAGTAAAGAATAATGGAAAATAAGTTCTTTCTTACTGACTCGACTCCCATGTTTTCTTGGGCTTTCACTGCTTTAAATCTGGCAAGTAGATAAAAGCAGTAGACACTTCACTACTGTTCCAACGCATGTTATTAGACACCCTGGCCAAAGCCCTGTGTGTGCCTAAAAACAGATGATCCGATCCTTTCCTCCATTGGGAAACTCATGCCACCGATCTATGTTCGGCGTGTCAGAGAATTTCCTTGGAGTGCTTCAGCAATTTATACACAATGCCATAACAAGATCACTAAATGTGGGGGGTGATGGATCCCTGATTGATGGTCACACCTTGTTACCAGCCTCACAAAGTGGTGCTTGTCTTCAACTTCCTTGTTCTGATGGCTAATGGGTGAGCATGTGGGGGTTGGGGGGGCAATGTGATTCATTCAGTAGTAGGGCTTAGACATGCAAAAGTGTCCCCTTTCCTGCCTTGGGATTTAAGCTATTCAGCCAGGTGCTAGAAGCACCCATAGCACGGCTGAGAACTCAGCTCATGGGGATACATGGATCTAATCCTGTGACGCTTTCCAAACTAAACTTCAAAAATGTTACTTTTGATTTCAAAGGTAGCCGAGAGGAATGAAATGAATGTAACCTTGTTTTCTTGTGTTTTTTTATGATACAGAGCGAAAACTGGCTGTCGTGGGTGTTTGAGAAAGTTGTCATCCTCATGGTCTTCTACTTTATTCTCTCCATCCTTAACTCCATGGCTCAGAGCTATGCAAAACGCATCCAGGTGCAGAAATACTCCGAGGAGAAAATGAAATGAGTTTTATTTTATTTTATTTTTAAAAATATTTCTTTTTCAAAAAAAAAAGAGGGACTGCAGAGACCCAGCCAGCGTAGATTATAGTAAGTCATAAGGCCATCTGCTGCTTTGAAATTCCACCCACCTTAATTAACACGAGTACTGTTGGAAGCAGAGGAGATAGTAATATACTTTATGGTCATTTGGAGGTGTGAATCAATTTGATTGGTACAGGTGTTCAGAGTACATTTCTGTGGAATCTCATCTTTTTTAAAAAAAATACGTCTTTGTTTCATTTGAGACGGGGTTAGCAGAGGTGGTTGGGGCTGTATTGAGTGGTGAAAGACAACTGCAGGATGAATCTAAATATTGTAGTGCAGAAAGCAGTGGGTTTACTTGTTCAAAGTTACTGTGAGTGCAGTGCTCGATGAGAAAAAAACTGGAAATAGTGAGGAGAAAATACATTCCTACAATGTCTTTCCCTGACCCGGGATCCTCATTGAGCAATAAATCTTGGAGTATATTGCATGACCCTTTGAGTATTATGCACAAAACTTTAAAATAGATTTTACATTATTGGGAAGCCTTTGAAAGTACGGTCCATCGCTATAATAAATTTAGTTTCTCCTCTAGTATTCTCTCCCTCTTATTTTTCTGTAGGAGCTTTTTTTCCCCGCTTTTCTTCTCTCCCCCCTCCCCCCGCCACCACCACACGCTCACACATTCTGCAGTCAGCGGGTGGGGTAGTTCATTATCGTCAGTGGCCAACGGGTTGGGTTTACACTGGGCTCCATTTGTCTTGTGGTGAGCTGACAGGTTGCAGCTTTCGAAGAAAAGGCAATTCCTGTTAACTGAAAGGAGGAAATGGTGATGTGAAGTAGTCCACAGTCCAGTCTATCTCACCCTTGTAAAAGAAGGGGTATGTATGTATGTATGTCTGTATGTATGAAAGAGAGAGAACGTACGGGGTACGTTGCACAGGTAAATCATTTGGGGTTTGTTGAAGTGTAGATATTTGATCTTTCCAGCTCAGGATGTTCTCACGTCTGTCATCTCCTTTGCAATATAAAATTGGTTGGCCTTCTGCCTGTTTATTTGGTTCACAATGATAGAGGGAAAAAACATGTTAATTTAAGTTGTGAAGCCAGTTCATCTCTTGAGTGTACATATGAAAAATGTCATTTTTACTCTGTAAATTTTACATGATTAACCTGATCTGACTTTATAAAGCTACATTGCCATTCCACAGACTGATGTCCAGTCTCTGCCTGTTGCGTTTTGTGGGGGATGTTGTGATGTACTCTAGAGAAGTCTCAAAAGTAGATGTGCCCATAATGTATAAACTTGATTAATGTTCATATGCAACAGTTGCTTTATAATACCATTTGTAAAACAATCTAATGTTTCTACTGGTAGAATTGCTATCAAGATGAATTAAGAAAACCATAGTGTTATCTATCTTTGTTTTAGGCCTGAGTGTACTCTTAAATTTATTTATAACGCAAGACTTGATGCATGAAAGAGACATGTTCTCGATCTTCAGAATCTTCTTGCGGGAGCTGTTGAACTGAAGCAACTTGAATTCTGTTTCAATTATTGCATTTCTCAAACAGGAATAAAATTGGAACAAAGTTGTCCTCTTTTTAAAACTTTCATCAAAAGAAGTCCGTGGATTCCGGTTGGTTTGGGGGGTAATGTGTTATGCACTGTCTCATAGATGCAGATTTGGCTCTAGGCGGTCAATTGACTTGGCTTGACTTGGGCTATCTGGTAACAGTGAATTTGCTGATACCGTCTGCACAGTGAACCAAACATTCTTAGCCGACAGACAAACTATCTTCAGCTCTCTCCAGGAAGCTGACATAATTTCATAACTTCTGGGAAGGGCGACATCCACCCACCCTCCCATCACGTGTAGCCAAAGTTTGAGGGCATAGCCCAACAAACTACAACTGGGAGTGACTTTGGGTTCATGTAAGGGCACGTATCACTAAAATCACTGCTGGAAACGTGCATGATCTTGTTCCATGAGGAGATTTTTTGGTAAATTTGAGATTTATAATCTGTAACTCAATGTATAATAGAAAGGGTTTGACTTCAGTTCGTGGAGAACGGAAATAACATTTTAAGAGGAATTTCAAAACCAAGACTGAGTTGTATTAATGCGTAGATATATGACAACTTCCTTTATTTTAACGGTATCTTGTTTCTGTCCCCCCCAAAAAGGGAAGATTGGGTTTTGGTCAATGTTGCTTCAAGATCAGCCATAGGGGGGGCTGGTGCTCACAACTCGGTCATGAGTCTGGTGAGGTCAGAGCTTGAACCTCGGCCGAGGCTGGGGTTTAAGCTTCTGGTCTCTTGTGGTCGGAATTAATAGCTTCACTCCTGCAAGCTTCTCTTCTCCCAGCCTACTTTCAAATAAAAACATCCACATTGCAAATGTGCAACTTCTTTTTGTAGGTGGTGAGCATTACATTGATGCCTTGTAGAGCAAAGCCTTGATTTACTCGCTTTGGTTCATTGCCTCTCCTCAGAGAAAAGGAAAAGTCTTTCTGCTTCAGGTTCCAGCTATTATAGGTTGTCTGTGTCACATCCAGCTTCTCCATCACTGCCATTCTGTCAGATAGCTTATCAGACTGGTGTTGGCTGTTAGCTCAGGTGGCGACAACAGTTGGTAGGCTATCTGGCGACATGGCACCTTCCATCAGATCAACATTGCATTTTGTTTCTCCCTCATCCTGCTTTCATTGTTTGTGAATAATCACTTGTCAGTCTCCATTCACAGCGAAGGTTTTGCTTGCAGTATTACCGGGAGGGCTCCCACTAACCCACTGCAACAGAAAATTATCTTTCTTTGCCTTTTTTTAATGTTTGCATATTTATTCTTGCAATCAGAGCTTATAAAACATTATTCTGATGTTTGACTAGTGAAATGTTCATTATTTACAGGTAAGTGAAGTACTAATTACACAAGTAATTGTGATTTTCTTTTTAAAAATGGACAGACTGATCCCATCATTTGACCCACACACAAAAAATGTCCTCTTTGTAGTGCTTCCAATAGTGAGTAATAAAAACACTGACAGACTGGTTATAGTAAGCATATTGTGTAATTCTTATGGAAAACCAATGCATACTGTTTAGCCCACAAAATATAGTCAACAGTATATCCTGTGAAATGCTTTGAGATGTCTCAAAGACATGATAAGGCGCTGTATTAAATGCAAGGATTATTATATCTGAAATTCTGGTCCAAGAAATAAGCTACGACTCTGCTGTGTGCAAAGTTACTGAGTCCCAGAGCGTTTGAATCTCAACTGTGGCCCAGTTAGGTTCCTTACAATGTCAGCAACGTACGAATTGTTCTGTTACTGGTCACTTAAAATAATCACCCTTGCATTTGATAGAGCGCCTTATCACATTGTTGAGACATCTCAAAACGCTTCACAGAATATACTGTAAAGTGAATTAATTGTCTATTTTGTGGGTGAAACTTTAATCTACAGATTTACTGCATATTACAGTACTAAACTTTGTATTCTAATTCAGTAGCTAGCTTGGTGTGGACAGTTTTTTGTAGGACAAGGTACCTTTTTAGAATCTTTGAGTTGTGTCCTGATTAAACTTGCAGCTAATGTTAGAAGGAAGTATACATAGGATCACAAGAGTTGGACAATTCACTTGAATGTGTGGAGTTAAGTCAAGGTACAACTTTTGATTTAAGGTAAAGAATATACTGGAGGTGTCAAATAACTGGCAATGTGGATTTGTTCAGGATTTCACACATTGCAAACATTCTCCACCCTTTATAATGATATTCTTTTCCTTGCAAAATAAATTCTAGACTTTCTACTGAGGTATCTGTTACTGAGCCAAAGGTTGAACTTTGTATTCCAATCTGTGCTGTTATTAGCATCGCAGGGAATGGGCTGGAGTACACTACACAATGATTAAGCAGTGAAATTCACAGACTGTGGAAGATCTATTCTTTCTCAATATTAAACCCAAAAAAGCATAATCACCACCCCAACACATCCACCATTAAGGGTATTTGTACTTTAAACATAACCCCTACTAACTATATGACTGCTTGGAACAACTCCAATATCCTGACAATAAACCAACCAAAATAAATTTACACAAGCACAACTTCCATTCATTGTCATTCACAATCTCTTCACAAATCTAGTGCCACATGGTCCCAACGTTCTAGTTTTTATTACCCGTTTAGTTAATAAAAATCTGAAACCATGGAGCGGAGCACTGCAGAGGATAGATTAATCACCACTAATGCCACTTTGTTGAAATATCAGTTCCTCTCGCTCTCACCCCCCTTCAATTTCTGCAAACCTCACTCCGGTAATTACTTTGTGTACGAAAGAACTACCACAACAACTTGCATTTATATAGCGCCCCTCGTGGGGTTGCGAACAGTAATGAACTTCAGTCTGTTTCTTTATTGGTTTTGAAAAGAAAGATTATTTCCCAAATTTGAAGGCCTTTAACAGCCTTCACTTGATAAGCGCATGCCATGTTCCAAGTACTGGGATGACTGTAAGTTCCTATCAAAACCCCAAGCCTCGCTGTGATCAGAGGTCTATTGACTAGATTTCCAAGTAACTTTTCCCTTGGATGACTAAACCATTCTGACACATCAGCCATAATCATACAATCATGCCAGCGTGAAAATTCAGTTATGTTTTATATGTTGTCACCTGTACATCAGCAATCTGGAAATTAAGGCTCCTTTGGGCAGAACGACCATAACATGATGGAATTTAACATTAAGTTAGAGAATGATATAGTTGAATCCGAAACAGGAGTCTTAAATTTAAATAAAGTCAACTTTGCAGGTATGAGAAGATTTGGCAAAAATAGCCTGGGAAATTAGATTTAAAAAAATGCTGGTAGACCAGCAATGGCAAACGTTCAAAGATATAATACATAATTCCCAGTGATCATATATTCCCTTGAAAAAGAAAAATACCACAGGAAAAGTGGTTCAACCTTGGCTAACTAGAGAAGTTGGGGAAAGTATAAAATGAAAAGAAGAGGCCTATAATACTGCCAAAAAGAGCGGTAAACCTAAGGATTGGGAGGGCTTTAGAGAACAAAGGAAAACCAAGAATTAAGAAACTGGTATGAGGGTAAACTTGCTAGGAACATAAAGACAGATCATAAGAGTTTTTACATGTACAGAAAGAGGAAGAGACTATCAAAAGTGAATGTGGGTCCATTGCAGGCAGAGACCAGAGAAATTGTAATGGGGAATAAAGAAACGGCAGAGTCGTTAAACAAATATTTTGCTTCTGTCCTCACGTTAGAGAACACTGAAAACTTACCGAAAATAAAGGGGAACCTTGAGGCTAATGTTAGTGAGGAACTTAAAGAAATGAACATCAGTAAAGAAATAGTACTAGAGAATAGTACTATAGGATTAAAAACCAGCAAATCCCCTGGATCTAATGTGGAGTCCTGTAGCTCAGTGGTTAGAGCACTCGCTTTGCAAGGGAGAGACCTGAGTTCAATTCCAGGCAGAAGGCGAAACCTTGGGCAAGTTTCCTTACTCCACACAGAGCCTAATAATAATCCCTCCAAAAAAAAGTAATAATAAATTGTTCATTTTCAATCCACGACTGTTTGTGGGACATTGCTGTGCGCAATTGGCTGCCGCGTTCGCCCACAAATATACAGTCAATTCACTTTACAGTGTGTTCTGTGAAGCGCTTTGGGACGACCTCCCGGCATGAAAAGCGCTATATAAAATGCAAGGATTATTATTATTATATTATAATGACCTAGGGTTTTAGAAGAGGTGGCTGCAGAGATAGTGGATGCATTGTTTTTGATTTTCCAAAATTCCCTGGATTCTGGAATGGTTCCCAGTGATTGGAAGGTCACAAACGTAATGCTGCTGTTTAAGAAGGGTGGGAGACAAAAAGTGGGGAACTATAGACCAGTTAGTTTGACATCAGTGGTAGGGAAAATGCTAGAGTCTTAATTAGGGATGTCGTTGTGGGGTACTTAAAAAAATCATAATATGATTACGCAGAGTCAACATGGCTTTATAAAAGGAAAGTCATGTTTAATAAATCTTTTAAGCGTTTTTTGAGGATGTAACTAGTAGGTTAGATAGAGGGGAACCAGTAGACGTGGTATATTTGGTGTATTTGGATTTCCAGAAGGCATTCGACAAGGTGCAACTTAAAAGGCTGGTGCATAAGATTAGAGCCCATGGAATTAAAGGAAATATATAGCATGGATTGGAGAGTGGCTATCAGAAAGAAAACAGAATAGGGATAAACAGGTCCTTCTCAGATTGCCAGGATGTGACTAATGGAGTGCCAAAAGGATCAGTGCTTGGGCCTCAATTATTTACAGTCTTTATCAATGATTTAGATGAGGAAATAAGACTTAACATATCTAAATTTGCGGACGATACGAAGATAGGTGCAAGAGTAAACTGTGAGGATGACATACGAAGAATGCAAAGGGAACTTACTCCACGCGCCTAATAATAATCCCTCCAGAGCAAAACAATAATAAATTGGTCATTTTTAATCCACGACTGTTTGTGGGACACTGGCTGCCGCGTTTCACCCACAAATATGCGGTCAATTCACTTTACAGTCTAT